TAGCAGAGCACAGAGGACAGGAGGTAGTGAGAGGAAGGGAAAGACTAGGAAACACTGATAGAGGTCAAGGTCCATGACAATGATGCAGAGTAGGGGGAGAGGTGGACAGGATTCATTATAACACAGAAAAAAATATACAACTGTTTTCTACTAACTAGTCTTACCATTTTCTATTCAAATTATTTTAAAACTGGATCAAGAAGTAATACATTTGTATCTACATGGAGATAATAATATTGTATTATTATGCATAGGCTATTTGAAACTGCAATTTATTTTATTAGAATTTATTGTTTTCTAGTCATTAACAAAATTCTGCAAGTCCTCTGATAAAAATAAATTTACATTTAGGAAATAAATAATTAATTTCTCCCTCCACCACAAAATACAATGTATTGCGATGCGCAGAGAAGAAGCAGAGGCAAGCCAACACAGCGCGCTTCCACATCACATACTCCAGCTCAGCTTCCTCTGTTAGCGTCAGATTGCATCACCCGCTGAATGAATCCGTGTTCAACTCACACAGCATCTATGAACCGACTTAACTTTACTGCGATATGACATAGCCTAAATCAGACTCATCTATTATGGCTATTATGTCAGAAACAGAGAGATAGGGAGAGAGATATGTCCAAACTTTCCTTCAATAGTTACCAATACTAGTTTTCGCTATTCATTGCATGCCATTATGGTAGAAATAGGACTGTTACTTACAGTTATCGCTACTGGTCTCCATGTGTGTTTTCCAAGACGGTTTTTCTTTGACATTCATTGATTTTGCCCAAGTTTGCGCTGCAGTACACGACGTGTCACCCATGTGTGGCGTAAAGTGACACACAGAAATGAGGCAAAGCTGCGAGTTCACCTCATCTGCTCGCGCTCACAGACACCTAAGCGAATATACAGCGAATCCTATTGGCTACTGTGGTACTACACATGATGACATCACCATTGCACAATCAACACAGACATTTATTAACATGTAAACTGCATTTATTTAAATACAATATGTACATAATTTATTGGGCAGTAGTTCTGGCAGGGAAATAAATAATAAGCAGATTACTTTGTACAGTTACAAAATGAAAACATAAATGTAAAAGTTGCCCAAAGCTTTTATAATTAATGTCGATTAAAAGATGAGATTGTGAATTCTGGAAGTAGTGTTTGTACATTATTGACAGTATTGTTAGTATTGTAAATGTCTATGATATCTTGTGACACACACACACACAGACACTAATCAATAAAACAAACAGCCATTACAAAGATGGCAGTAAGAGTAGTTATACTAGATGACTGCAAGTCAGCATGACTAATATTACAGTCTGATAAAGGCAGTGCTCCATACACTAACAATCAGAACAATTATTTCCTCTGACACACAGCCTCATAACAGACCATTCAAATAAAACTGAAAAGAAAAGGGACAGTTTTGCATGTATATAATGTACCAACAATATTGGATAATCTATTGGATAACTATGAGTCACTTCTTCAAAAACCAACAGGAGAATTCTTAGTTCTACTGTATGTACACTATAGTGTAAGCTTCAGCACAGCAACACTGGTTGTCATTTGGACCGGCGTCAACACAGACCAATCAGGACAATTCCATCAAATCAACTCCACTTCAACATCTACAAAATTCCCTCACCTCTATTCCTTCCCTCCTCACATTGTATTGTTAAGGGAAGATTCCATTCAATCCCTTTCAGTTGTAATCTAATTCAGATCCATACCACTAATTCATCTGTATCCAGACCTCTGGTCACCAATCCCTTCAATCCACTTTCCTCCCCATATGTATTTAGAAGCAGTTCAGATTCCATGTTATTCATTTCTATCTCTATGTGTTGAGTTAGAATCAGGTCAAGTCTCCCCATGACAAGAGTCACTCACAGGTCAGCTGTTTTCCTAAATACAATCTCAGCTCTAAATACAATTCAATATCCAATTATAACATGATATTCCATCACTGTAAATGACATGCCCCTTGGATCAATTGAAATTGAGAATACTAAAAACTCCAATACTCACATTAAGTTGTTTAGATCCTTTCCATCAATTTAGTACAGTAAATCAATGAACTTTCATTATGTAGGCAAGAGCCTGGTCTTACAGTGCATTCGGAAAGTATTCAGACCCCTTGACTTTTTCCACATTTTGTTACGTTACAGCCATATATCTGACATGCACTGTGGGACCTTATATAGACAGGTGTGTGCCTTTCCAAATCATGTCCATTCAATTGAATTTACCTCAGGTGGACTCAAGGATGATCGATGGAAACAGGATGCACCTGAGCTCAATTTCGATTCTCATAGCAAAGTCTCTGAATACTTACAGTTGAAGTCGGAAGTTTACATACACTTAGGTTGGAGTCATTAAAACTTGTTTTTCAACCACTCCACAAATGTCTTGTTAACAAACTATAGTTTTGGCAAGTCGGTTAGGACATTTACTTTTTGCATGACACAAGTAATTTTTCCAACAATTGTTTACAGACCGATTATTTCACTTATAATTCACTGTATCACAATTCCAGTGGGTCAGAAGTTTACATACACAGAGTTGACTGTGCCTTTAAACAGCTTGGGAAATTCCAGAAAATGATGTCATGGCTTTATAAGCTTCTGGTAGGCTAATTGACATAATTTGAGTCAATTGGAGGTGTACCTGTGGATGTATTTCAAGGCCTACCTTCAAACTCAGTGCCTCTTTGCTTGATATCATGGGAAAATCAAAAGAAAGCAGCCAAGACCTCAGAAAAAAATGGTAGACCTCCACAAGTCTGGTTCATCCTTGGGAGCAATTTCCAAACGCCTGAAGGTACCACGTTCATCTGTACAAACAATAGTACGCAAGTATAAACATCATGGGACCACGCAGCCGTCATACCGCTCAGGAAGGAGACGCGTTCTGTCTCCTAGAGATGAACGTACTTTTGTGCGAAAAGTGCAAATCAATCCCAGAACAACAGCAAATTACCTTATGAAGATGCTGGAGGAAACAGGTAGAAAAGTATCTATATCCACAGTAAAATGAGTCCTATATCGACATAACCTGAAAGGCTGCTCAGCAAGGAAGAAGCCACTGCTCCAAAACCGCCATAAAAAAGTCAGACTACGGTTTGCAACTGGACATGGGGACAAAGATCGTACTTTTTGGAGAAATGTCCTCTGGTCTGATGAAACAAAAATAGAACTGTTTGGTCATAATGACCATCGTTATATTTGGAGGAAAAAGAGGGAGCTTGCAAGCCGAAGAACACCATCCCAACCGTGAAGCACGGGGGTGGCAGCATCATGCTGTGGGGGTGCTTTGCTGCAGGAGGGACTGGTGCACTTCACAAAATAGATGGCATCATGAGGAAGGAAAATTATGTGGATATATTGAAGCAACATCTCAAGACATCAGTCAGGAAGTTAAATCTTGGTAGGCAAATGGGTCCAAGCATACTTCCAAAGTTGTGGCAAAATGGCTTAAGGACAACAAAGTCAAGGTGTTGGAGTGGCCATCACAAAGCCCAGACTTCAATCCTATAGAAAATTTGTGGGCAGAACTGAAAAAGCATGTGCGAGCAAGGAGGCCTACAAACCTGACTCAGTTACACCAGCTCTGTCAGGAGGAATGGGCCAAAATTCACCCAACTTATTGTGGGAAGCTTGTGGAAGGCTACCCGAAACGTTTGACCCAAGTGAAACAATTTAAAGGCAATGCTACCAAATGCTAATTGAGTGCATGTAAACTTCTGACCCACTGGGAATGTGATGAAATAAATAAAATCTGAAATAAATCATTCTCTCTACTATTTTCTGACATTTCACATTCTTAAAATAAAGTGGTGATCCTAACTGACCCAAGACAGGGAATCTTTACTAGGATTAACTGTCAGGAATTGTGAAAGACTGAGTTTAAATGTATTTGGCTAAGATGTATGTAAACATCCGACCACAATTGTATGTAAATAAGGTATTTCTGTTTCATTTTTTAAAATAAATGTGCAAAAATGTCTGTTTTCGCTTTGTTATTATGGGATATTGTGTGTAGATTGATGAGGAAAAACATTAATGTTATCCATTTTAGAATAAGGTTGTAACGTAATAAAATGCGGAAGAAGTCAAGGGGTTTGAATACTTTCCCAATTAACTGTATACTCACATGGGAAACACTTCTGGAAACATGCATTCAGTCTGTTTATGAATTTGACTAAATCATTAAAATAATAATTTCTTAACATAATAATATTACTTTGGCTTTTCAGTAAACATACAATATAGTCCACTCATTTTATTGAACTGTAGGCTACCACAATATATCAATCTAGCCTTTCACTCCGAGGTGAACCCTCGCTCTATAAAGAAATAACGTTTTAGTCTCACTGTTAAAAAAAGGCTGTGAATGAAACAATATATTTAGAGTAAAGAAAGCAAAGACAGGGTTAATCTGGTTGCACGTTCTGTTTGGACAGTTTGCTGGTGTTCTCTTTCCTGCTTGAACATAAGGCAATGTCTCAGAGCTTTCCAAACCTGCAACCTAGAAGAGGGTTCAAAGATGCTATAAACTCATGACACGACAGCCATAAACTATAGTTAAACTCATAATAATAAAACAAACACATAATACTGAAAGCATAAGCAGAACTAGCCTGGTCTAGTCCTCTCTGCAGATTTAGGTTTCCACAGACAGACGTATCTTGGGAGGAGCAGTAGTATGTTAGTCCACTTTCTCCAGAGAGATATTATTGATGTATAGACTCAGGCTGGATGGGTTGCTCTGGCCCAGAGCATGTGATGGAACCATAGAATCAGAGAATTAGAATGAATTATATGTCTATGGCTAGAACCATGCTGGTTCTAGTTCTGGTTCTGCTGTGGCTCTGGCCAGTGTGGCGGACTATCCAGACTGGTTATTACGTCTCTCAGTGAGGACTCAGGCGTCTTTAACGTTAAGCCCAGCAGGCTGCTACACTGAGCTTCTACACTCCAGTCCTTTCAGAACAGCCTGACTTGTTTCTTCAGCTCGTTTCTCTTCCACAGTGCCAGCCGGTCAAAGTCAGCCATAGTCATCCTAAACACCCGGTAGAACTCCTCAGGAGACAGGTGGCGCTGGCAGAGAGAGATTACACACATATATTAGTGTTGTTGGGGTGATATTGTCATAACCATCTCAGAAATAGAAATACAATCAACTTGCTCCATAGTATGTGCAGTGAGAGGTTTTCATTACTTGCATGTTTACAAAGCTGAGAGAAACTCACCTCTAGTCTGGCTCTGTCCACATCATTGGGGGGCTGGTTGCGCCCCCTTATGGTGACCACCAACACGTCATATGGGTAGATCTGAGGGAGGAGTGACATACTCAGTGGTGGAAAAAAGTACCTACTTGTCATACTTGAGTAAAAGTAAAGATACCTTAATAGAAACCCCCCCAGACTTCCTCTCAGAGACAAAGCAGCAGATCAGTGGGAAGATGCTCTCACTGTTCCTTTCTTATTAGGCTCAATTTCCTCTTTTCTGTTCTAGAGTTCTCTACTGTCAGTTTACCTTTGGTTTAGTGATGGTCAGTTTGTGACATACTCAGTGGTGGAAAAAGTACCTAATTGTCATACTTGAGTAAAAGTAAAGATACCTTAATAGAAAATGACTCAAGTAAAAGTGATAGTCACCCAGTAAAATACTACTTGAGTTGAAGTATAAAAGTATTTGGTTTTAAATATACTTAAGTATCAAAAGTAAATTGATTGCAAAAATATACTTAAGTATCAAAAGTAAAAGTACACGTATAAATAATTTCAAATTGCTTATATTAAGCAAACCAGACGGCACAATTTTATTGTTTAAAAAATGTACTATAACACGCAGACATCTTTTCCAAACAAAGCATTTGTGTTTAGAAGTCACTCTGGATAAGAGCGTCTGCTAAATGACTAAAATGTAAATGTAAATGTAGTGAGTGCTCCAGATCAGAGGCAGTAGGGATGACCAGGGATGTTCTCTTGATAAGTGCGTGAGTTGGACCATTTTCCTGTCCTGCTAAGCATTCAAAATGTAACAAATACTTTTGGGAGTCAGGGAAAATGTATGGAGTAAAAAGTACATCATTTTCTTAAGGAATGTAGTGAAGTAAAAGTAAAAGTAGTCAAAAATATACATAGTAAAGTAAAGTACAGATACCCCAAAAAACTACTTAAGTAGTACTTTAATGTATTTTACCTTAAGTACCTTACACCACTGGACATACTGTGGTTATGAGCAAAACATTCAACGTGTTTAGATTTTCACACCAGACGCAGACAAAGCAATGCTGCCCATCCTATTGTCAACGACTCACAGACGTTTGCCTGGGTAATACATTCACCTGTACTTCCTCTGACAACAAACCCCCCAGACTTCCTCTCAGAGACAAAGCAGCAGATCAGTGGGAAGATGCTCTCACTGTTCTTTTCTTATTAGGCTCTTTTCTGTTCTAGAGTTCTCTACTGTCAGTTTACCTTTGGTTTAGTGATGGTCAGTTTGTTCCTGAATTTGCATAACATCTTACCTTGTATTCTGTAGAAAAAGAGAGAAAAGTAACTGATCATCACATTTATTCATATTCTCATTGGTTATGTATTTTGTATTCAAGGCATGATATCGAAAGGTGAACCCATTCTCGCTAACCTCTGATTCCCCAGTTCACTGCATTGCTGCTGTCGTACTGGAAATAATCCGCACTCTGGGGCTGAAAGAGACAGACAACAAGTACAATTATTTTAAAGATAAACAAAGCCCACATTACATTTTAGTCATTTAGCAGACACTCTTATCCAGAGTGACTTACAGTTAGTGAGTGCATACATTTTCATACACATCAGGCCATAGCCACAAGGTATTGGTCTTGAGCAGATTTGGGTCCACAGGGCCCATTTCAACCCCCATACCCTGTGACCCCGTCACTCCCCCCACCCTCAGAGAACTCACCCTGTGCAGTCCGTTCCTGCCATACCCTGGCAACGAGGATGACTTGGCGACGAAGGAGTCTGAAAGTGAGCAAACACAAGCATCCCTACCGTTCAGCCTGTGAGCTACAACACACCCACACACTGGGTCCCAGCAGAACACAGCACACATCAGTGGAAACACTCAGTGAGGGATGGGGCAATTAGTGTTTCTAACAGGGAACACATGCAGGTCTGTATAAGAGACAACAGGGGGCGCTAAGAGCAAACACAATGGAGAATCCCTGTCTTTGTCTCTCTGTAATTTTCATTTACAGGCAATGACATTACAAAGAAATGGCAAAGCCTGGATCAAAAGCCATTATGTAGCAGAATATGTACTGTATCTTACATTGTTATTTCCTCTACCATGCAACATGCATGACTTGTAATCCTTTTGTAAACAACTATGAGCATAATTGATTTCATGCTCTTAAAATGGCATTTGTTGTCATTGTCATGATCATTGTAACATACAGAGAACAAACAGGGTCAGAGTGGAATGAATCAATCAATATCAGATAAGTGACATGGCTAAAGAGCTCATTTTTCATACACTGATGTAACTCTACTGTCCCCTTGTGATGACCCTCAGCTCTGTACACAGACAGACAAGGCACAGTAGGACACTGAGTCACATCACTCACCACTGCCTGCATTGTAGTGGGATCTGGTGGGAGCTGCAGAGAGAGCGATATATAGTTGGAGACAGAGAGAGATAGGAGAATAAGGCAGAGACGAGGCAGACAGAGACAGAAGATAGAGAGATAGAGAGAGAGAGAGAGAGAGAGAGAGAGAGAGAGAGAGAGAGAGATAGATAGAGAGAGAGAGAAGAGAGAGAGAAGAGAGAAGAGAGAGAGAGTAGTAGAGAGAGAGTAGGAAGAGAGAGAGAGAGACTACAGAGAAGAGAGAGATTATGAGTATAGACATCTCTCGAGACAGAGCAGATCTATAGACTCTACTCTCTCTCTCCCCTCAGCTATCTATAGAATAGAGCATAGATCTCATCCTATCGGAAGATGTTTGAACGACCGGAGTAGCGATGGGGGAGCGGGGGAGAGAGAGAGAGTTGACATGGTTAGATACAGCCTCTGCTTGTAGAGATGCACGGTTAAGTGTTCTCATCTGGTCTCATAAAGATCCTATAACGGTTTCTCAACAGAATCTTGAAAGACCCTCCTGATACAATCAGTCTTGAATCCAGGGTCATGACAATGATGAAAGATACCAAACACATAGCAGCTGCGGTTCACAAGTTTGAGAGAAACAATGTTCTAGGAGCTATAGTATGACACAGCTTCTCATGGATTACAGTGAGGATGGAGAGATGGAAGAGGTCTGTAAGAACAATGCCAGACAACAATGCCACTGTTTGGTCCTAGTAGGACTTAACACACATAACAAGAATACAAGAGATATACAACAAGGAGGACTTACATGAAAGTGGGTTCAGTGAGATGAATAACCATTTAATCTCCCCACAATATGTATATTAAAGGGTGAGTCCCAATTGGCACCCTATTCCTTATATAGTGCACTACTTTTGACCATGGGCCCTGGTCAAAAGTACCGCACAATATAGGGAAAAGGGTGCCATTTGGGACGTCACCCAACAGTCAGGTTAATCACCCAGATCAATGGCTCCTTTAGAAAGCTTTCATGTGCATCATATGAGTCAGTGTGGCTGGCTGGTGCTGTTGCTGGTTGTGTTCTCACTTTCCCCAAAGAGAATGACAACATCCATTAAACATGGCGGCAGCTTTTATGACTCATCAATAAAACAGGAAGAGGGACATAAGCCTTCAACTGGAGTGGGGCGGTGGGGGAAGTCATATGTATGTACGCCCTGCAGTACACAACAAAACACACATTCTCCCTCTCCTTCTTGCTCTCTCACTCTCGTTTCCACACCCTAACATGCAAACATACACTTAATGTGATGAGTAAGGAGGAGAGAGGAGGCTCGATGTAAGTGTGCAGCCAGAAACATATGGCTACCTACGGCACAGTCTCAGCTCTATGAGGAAGTGGACCGTTTCCTCACTGCTCTGCTCTCTGCCTGCCTGTGTGTTGTCATTAGAGATGAGAGATGATAAACTGCTATGATAGATAAACAGGGTCAGTTGGTCACAGTGTATCAGATTTCTCTCCTGTGCTGGCTTCGTATGCAGTGTAATCAGGGAGAGGGGCTGAAGGCCAAGGTTGTGTGTATATGTGTGTGTGTGTGTGTGTGTGTGTGTGTGTGTGTTGGGATGTGCAGCATTGTGCATGTCTTGCTACAGTGCCTTGCAAAAGTATTCAGACCCCTTGGATTTCTTCACATTTTATTGTGTTACGAAGTGGGATTCAAATGGATTTCATTGTCATTTTTGTCATCAATCTACACAAAATAGTCAGCAATGTCAAAGTGGAAGAACAATCATATAGGTCCCTCAGTCAAGTATGGAATTTCAAGCACAGATTCAACTACAAAGACCAGGGAGCTTTTCAAAAGCCTCATAAAGAAGGGCAGTGATTGGTAGATAGATGGGTAACAATAAGAAATCCGACATTGACTACATCTTTAAGCATGGTCAAGTTAATAAATATGCTGTGGATGATGTATTAAACCACCCAGACAAATCAAAGATGCAGTCGTTCTTCTGAACTGAGCTGCAGGATAGGGATGGAACTGTTCAGGGATGTTACCATGAGGCCATTGGTGATTTTAAAACAGCTACAGAGTTCAAAATAATAAATACACTTTTTGGCCTAAATGCAAAGCCTTATGTTTGGAGCAAATCACTGAGTAAGTGCCTCCTTATTTTCAAGCATGGTGGTTGCTGCATCATGGTATGGGTATGCTTGACATCGGCAACTACTGGGGAGTTTTTCAGGATAAAAAGAAACTGGATGGAGGTAAGCACAGGCAAAATCCTAGAGGAAAACCTGATTGTCAGCTTTCCACCAGACACTGGGAGATTAATTCACCTTTCAGCAGGACAATAATCTACAACACAAGGCCAAATCTACATTGGAGTTGCTTACCAAGAAGACAGTGAATGTTCCTGAGTTAATCCCACTTTGTAACACAATAAAATATGAAGAAATCCAAGGGGTCTGAATACTTTTGCAAGGCACTGTATATACAGAATGTTCAATTACCTCTGTGTGTGTCAGGGTGGGTATGTTTATGTGCTACAACTTGGAGCATGGTGTTTGTGTGTGGTTGGATGAATCCCACATTCTCCTGCCCCCCACTGTGCTGTTGGTTTAGAGGGGTCAGGGTTTCTCTCAGGGAGGTATAGTGATACCTTTCTATGGTTTAGCCCTGACCACAGCTCCTTTTCTCTCTCTCCTGTAGATCTTCTATTGTAACTCCCGATTATACCCAGCTCCTTCGTCTCAGACCTCACAGCTCCTCTCTGATACCACTCCTCCTACAGCTCTCTTCATCTCTCTCTCCTACCCCATCTTCTACTCTCTCGGCTCTCCTCTCTCCTCTCTTCTCCTCTCTCTCCTCTCCTCTCTCTCCCTCTCATCTCTCTCTCTCTCCTCCTCTCTCCTCGTCTCTCTCTTCGTGTTTTGGGTACAGAGACAGATACATTAATTCCCACAGCCACAGGGATGGAAGCTCTGACCACATATCATGTATGGCAACCCTGAGGGGGATCTCAACTATAACAACATAGCGCTCACTTCAATTTATACACAATCTGGCAACCCTGAGGGTTTTCAATTCATCTAAGAGTTAACTAATTTGGGATGCACCTATGATATTTTTGGACCGCTGAGTCACTATGGAGCGGCTCCTCTCATAACAGCATTTGCCAGTCAGTCAGACAGTCCATCAGAGGCTGAGATTTAACAGACTCATCTCCCATCTCTGTCTGGCTCAGACCCCTATCACTCTGCTCTCCTCTAACCTCCACCCTGCTGCTGAGGAGCTAGCTAAGGACGGACAGACACACCTTCCCCATAGCTATTCATATAGCACCAGGATCCGGATGAGCAATGCACATGAGAGAACAGAGAAAACAACTGGCTTGTCAAATATTGCCGACACTGAGATTCACAATATAGTCTCAATGCTATGTCAGTGTGGATAAAAGGATGACAGTGATGTTTATGGACTGGTGTTCAGCACCAGTCCTAAATCGTTATCAGAGCTGTAATATAAAGTGGATAATGGTGTTCTTACATCCGTTGACAGTGTTGTTGTAGCCCACGTTGTGCAGGGCCTCTTTGCTGCCGCTGCGGGAGTTGGTGCGGGAGTTTCGGGCGCTGCCCCATGGGTCATTGTCATAGGAACCCGACCTGGCTTTCATCTCCTCCTTCAGAATCATACGGCCTATACCACCTTGGAGCTAGGGAAGAGATGGAGAGGGAGAGAATGAGTGAGAGAGAGAGAGAGAGAGAGAGAGAGAGAGGGCGAGAGGGGGGAGCGAGATAGAGAGAGAAGTGAAAGGAAAAGGAGAGATGCAAAAGAGACAAAGAAAGAGAGGAATATGGCTTGAGCAGTACAATATGAATAATGTCTGGGGCTGAACACTGTTTTTCCCTGTAGGCAACATTTATGAAATATTCACAGCCATACCTTGTTCTTTACCCCACAACAAACAAGCAATGTTGAGTAATGCTAGTCTCACAGATATTTACTGAATCTTTCTGCATTTCAAATCTTTAAAGAAATAACACATCCTGAGAAATAATGAATTTAAAATAAAATTAATATTGCCAAAATTTCCTTATTATTGGTCCACGCTTTCTCAGTCACAAATACAAATGAACAATATTTTGAATAGCATTTATTGGTGTCATACTGACTCTGTTAAGACTTTGATTCCATCCATCCTCCTCTCCACCTGAGGAAAACCTCCGGGCACGAGTAGCTGAGATGAGAGAGAAAGAGAGAGAGCGAGCGAGAGAAAGGACAGAGAGAGAAATCACAATTTCTAGCAAGGTTTCCATCCAACTGGCGACAGATTTTCATGTGAATATAAAAAAAACTGCATAAAAACAATATGCACATTTTCCCACCAGAGATGTGTTTCCATCAAATGTACTTGTTGTGAATAAAAGGCTGTACGTGATGACATAATGCACATAAAAATAACTTATGCAATTAAATTCTCATGTACCAAATAAAAAATAAAAGTTAAATGGGTTTCCATCACATTTTTAACTCTACTGATGGTTTTGGCAAATCTGACCATAACTTTATCCTCCTGATTCCTGCTAACAAGCAAAAACTCAAACAGGAAGTACCGGAAGTGGTCAAATGAAGCGTACATATCCCCGCACTGAGCTAAAGGCTAGAGCTGCCGCTTTCAATGAGTGGGACACTAATCCGGATGCTTAAAATAAATCCCGCTACACCCTCCGACGAACCATCAAACAGGCAAAGCGTCAATACAGGACCAAGATCTAATACTACTACACCGGCTCTGATGCTTGGCGGGTGTGTCAGGGCTCGCAAACTATCACGGATTACAAAGGGAAACCCAGCCTCGAGCTGTCCAGTGACACGAGCTAAACACCCTCTATGCGTGCTTCGAGACTAGCAACACTGAACTACGCATGAGAGCACCAGCTGTTCCGGATGACTGTGTGATTACGCTCTCCATAGCCGATGTGAGCAAGACCTTTAAACGGGTTAACATTCACAAGGTCGCAGGGCCAGACGGATTACCAGGACATGTACTCAGAGCATGGGCTGACCAGCTGGCAAGTGTCTTCACTGACATTTTCAACCTCTCCCTGACCAAGTCTGTAATACCTCCTGTACATGTTTCAAGCAGACCACCATAGTCCCTGTGCCCAAGAACGCCAAGGTAACCTGTCTAAATGACTATCGCCCCGTAGCACTCAAATCTGTATCCATGAAATGCTTTGAATGGCTGGTCATGGCTCACATCAACACCATAATCCCGGACACCCTGGACCCACTCCAATTCGTATACAGCCCCAACAGATCCACAGATGATGCAATATTGCACTCCACACTACCCTTTCCCACATAGAAAAAAGGAACACCTACCTGAGAATGCTGTTAATTGACTACAGCTCAGCATTCAACATCATTGTGCCCTCCAAGGTCATCACTAAGCAAAGGACCCTGGGATTAAACACCTCCCTCTGCAACTGGACTTCCTGACGGACCGCTCCCAGGTGGTGCGGGTAGGCCACAACACATCTGTCACGCTGCCCCTCAACACGGGGCCCCTTTAGTCCCCTCCTGTACTCCCTGTTCACCAATGACCGTGTGGCTGTGGACGACTCCAACACCATCATTACGTTTGCAGACCACACAAAGGAGCTGATCGTGGACTACAGGAAACGTAGGGCCGAGCATGCCCCCATCCACATCGACCGGGCTGTTGTCAAGAGCTTCAAGTTCCTCTGTGTCCACATCATTAAGGAACTATCATGGTCCACACACATCAACAGAGTCATGAAGAGGGCACAACAACGCCTCTTCCACCTCAGGAGGCTGAAAAGATTTGTCATGGGCCCTTAGATCCTCAAAATGTACTACAGCTGCACCATTGAGAGCATCTTGACTGGCTGCATCACTGCTTGGTATGGCAACTGCTTGGCATCCGACCGCAAGACGCTACAGAGGGTAGTGTGTACGGCCCAGTACATCACTGGGGGCGAGCTCCCTGCCATACAGGACCTTTATACCAGGCGGTGTCAGAGGAAGGCACTACAAATTGTCAAAGACTCCAGCTACCCAAGTCATAGACTGTTCTCTCTGCAACCACACGGCAAGCGGTAAAGACACAACAAGTCTGGAACCAACAGGACCCTGAACAGCTTATACCCCCAAAATAGTTAACCAATAGCTACCAGGAATATCTGCATTGACCCTTTTTGCACAAATCTCTTTTGACTCATCACATACACTGCTGTCACTGTCTATTATCTATCCCTATCTATATGTACATATCTACCTCAATCACCTCGTACCCGTGCACATCGACTCGGTACTGTTACCCCGTGTACACAATACCTTCGGAAAGTATTCAGACCCCTTGACTTTTTCCACATTTTGTTACATTACAGACTTATTCTAAAATGTATTTAAAATCAGCAATCTACACACAATACCCCATAATGACAGGTTTTTTGAAATTATTGCAAATGTATTAAAAAGAAAAAACTGAAATATCTTATTTACATAATAAGTATTCAGACCCTTTGCTATGAGACTCGAAATTGAGCTCAGGTGCATCCTGTTTCCATTGATCGTCCTTGAGATGTTTCTACACTTTGATTGGAGTCTACCTGTCGTAAATTCAATTGATTGGACATTATTTGGAAAGGCACACACCTGTCTATATAAGGTCCCACAGTTGACAGTGCATGTCAGAGCAAAAACCAAGCCATGAGGTCGAAGGAATTGTCCATAGAGCACCGAGACAGGATTGTGTCAAGGCACAGATCTGGGGAAGGGTACCAGCACATTTCTGCAGCATTGAAGGTCCCCAAGAACACAGTGTCCTCCATCATTCTTAAATGGAAGAAGTTGGAAACCACCAAGACTCTTCCTAGAGCTGGCCGCCCGGCCAAACTGAGCAATCGGGGGAGAAGGGCCTTGGTCAGGGAGATGACCAAGAAACCGATGGTCACTCTGACAGAGCTCTAGAGTTCCTCTGTGGAAATGGGAGAACCTTCCAGAAGGACAACCATCTCTGCAGCACTCCACCAATCAGTCCTTTATGGTAGAGTAGCCAGACGGAAGCCACTCCTCAGTAAAAGGCACATGACATCCCGCTTGGAGTTTGCCAAAAGGCACCTAAAGGGCTCTCAGACCATGAGAAACAAGATTCTCTGGTCTGATGAAACCAAGATAGAACTCTTTGGCCTGAATGCCAAGCGTCACGTCTGGAGGAAACCTGGCACCAACCCTGAAGCATGGTGGTGGCAGCATCATGCTGTGAGGATCGAGGCAAAGATGAACGGAGCAAAGTACAGAGAGATCCTTGATGAAAACCTGTTCCAGAGTGCTCAGGACCTCAGACTGGGGCGAAGGTTCACCTTCCAACAGGACAACGACCCTTAAGCACACAGCCAAGACAACGCAGGAGTGGCTTCGGGACAAGTCTCTGAATGTCATTGAGTGGCCCAGCCAGAGCCTGGACTTGAACCCGAGTGAACATCTCTGGAGAGACCTGAAAATAGCTGTGCAGAGACGCTCCCCATCCAACCTGACAGAGCTTGATAGGAATGGAAAAAACTCCCCAAATACAGGTTTGCCAAGCTTGTAGCATCACACCCAAGAATAGTTGAGGCTGTAATTGCTGCCAAAGGTGCTTCAACAAATTACTGAGTAAAGGGTCTGAATACTTACGTAAATATGATATTTCAGTTTTTAATGTTTAATAAATGTGCAACATTTTCTAAAAAACAGTTTTTGCTTTGTAATTATGGGGTATTGTGTGTAGATTGATGAGGGAAAACTATTTGATCAATTTTAGAATAAGGCTGTAACGTAACAAAATGTGGAAAAAGTAAAGGGGTCTGAATATTTGCCGAATGCACTGTATAGCCAAGTTATCGATACTCATTGTGTATTTATTACTACTTTTATTATTTTTCTATTTATTCCTTGTGTTATTATTCAAATGTTTCTACTATTTCTCTTTTTTATCTCTCTGCATTGTTGGTAAGTAAGCATTTCTCTGTTAGTCTACACCTGTTGTTTATGAAGCATGTGAGAAATTAAATTTGATTTGTTATATAGCGGCATGTGCGCTCTAACCAACAGCTTCGCAGATATAGCCTACATGATGAGATAATTATGGACAAAAGAGATTATTTGTGTTTGTCAAACGGCAGACAAGCATCGATCATCATGTCACCCTCGATATTTATTGGAAAGGAGCATCAAGCTCATCACCGTGCACCTTCACCACCCTGTGAAGTTCATCCTAACTGATATAATATGTAGTATAACAAACTGCATGCTTTCCTGAGTCGTAGTGGGAGGACCACACAACATATCATCAGGTGACTCCAATTTTACTTCCATATGATGGTTATTATATCAATATTTGAGCATAAAGGTGTTCCCACCGCCATTTCTCGCAGTATTAATTTTACAGACAAAAAAAGATTCCACCTTGTCTAGCGTATTTTGTTTTGTCGACATTTGGAAAGTTTACAGTCGTGAATTTTTTTAATCCGACATGCACTTTACTCACATAAAAAGGTTGGAAGGAAACCTGGTTACTGTAAAGCATAGCCTCTGAGAGAGAGAGTTGAAATGGCACAGGAAATCTATGACCAAGACATGCTCTCTTCAAATCTCTAACTTCATCGATACACATCAGTCCATTTCTCAATAACCCATTTAGCCAACAGTGAGTTCTCTTGGTCCTCCGGAAGCAGTACCTTTGGGAGAGGGAGTGTAGGGGTAGTAGTTAGACTGCTGGTGGTAGTGGTCAGGAGAGTAGGAGTCAGTAAACTGGGAGGTCTGGAGGATGTCCACGCTGGTTTTACTCTTAGTGGCTGAGTAGCCAGAATCATCTGTAGGGAGAGAACATAATGAGGTGAGAGCACGCACGCACGCATGCACGCACGCACGCACGCACGGTAATGCAGACCGAGTGAGGCAGTCAGAGACGTGGTGGGAAGGCAGGCAGTCTAGTTAGTCTCTAAGAGGAGTGACAAAGGATCACTCAGGTTAATGAGCTAATTAATACACAGCAAAATGAGGCTCAAGGCCATGGATGACAGAGCGAAGGGAGAGGGGAGGTAAATAAGTATAGATGCCAATATTAATCACAAATAATACTGTATCTGAGGCACTGGTAAGTGCTCAGATAAAGATGGACTGCAGATGGATAGACTGGCCCAGGTACTTACAAAGAGGAGAGTTGACCAAGGTCAGTAAAGCAGGATAAAGGGAGAGGGAGAGTGAAAAGAAGGAAGGTTATATTATCCACATAGAGAAAAAATAAAGGACAAAACAGATCTGCTACGCACATGGAGGTAAACCAATCAGCTAGGATGTAAACAGACAAGGACACTTGCAAGGCTCTCTAGCAAAGTTAACACTATGTTACCCTCCATGTGGATTAAGCAAACAGTTATGTGCATTACAGGCCACGGGTAAAACCACACACACATACATTGTGTGACCCCCCTCTGTCATAAATTACTAGGTGGACCGTGGAAGGAAGCCTGTCTCAAGTCCTGTAACCCAGCGCCTGATGTCAACTCATCGTACCTCTGTCCACCTCTCTGTTGATAGATGACCACTCTGCTCTCAATGATTTCTATCACTTTCTAGCTACCTCTGCACAGGTTCTGGTGGGATTCCAGCATGAGAGGGTTGCATTGCAAATCATAAGGTGGCAATAACTATTGAAGGACAGGAGCACTGAGTCAGTCAGAAAGATGCGTGTCCTGATGGAATTCAGAATCAGCTCTTAAGAGGTTGGATAATGAGACCAGTCTGGATCATAAGGGGCTGTGGAAGTGGTAGCCCTTGGCCTAAGGCAGGTGTCTCATTCTCAACATATTATACTTGTGTTAGGTGTGTGTGTAGTGCGGTCTACACTCTGTTGTGATCCATGGTGCTATTTTGAGCCTGTGCGTATACGACAGCCTGCGTGTATCCCTATTGCTTGTATCCAGAGATGTGACATCCCCTTGAATGTATTATGAATGAAAGAGATCATTTCTGCTCTGTTTCTCCTCCTCTCTCTGGTGTTTGAATGGGAAATGCATTCAAACCATGTTTCCTCTCAGTGAACACTGAGATTGTATTGCTCAATCTGATGTGGTTTGTCAGAGTAGCAGGAAGGAACATTATTTTGCATCAATGCACAGTCTTTGTCTAATGTGATATTACCTGTTGAGAGGGGATTTTCACTAGCTCAACAACTTGGGAGCAATGGTTTTATGTGCAAATAATTACTGCTGAAGCATATTATCCAAATGTCTCAGTGGTATGTTTGATGCTACTGTATCTTAACAGAAAAACACCATGAGTCTGTAATGTACAGAACCATACAGGACAGTGAACAGTACAGAGAGACACTGACATATATATACTCTTATAGTGAGCAATGCAGCACAACTACTTAACCATGAAATAGGGAAACTGAGTATCTCTGAAGTCTAGAGGTAAAACGACTGTGCGTCACATAGCACAAGAAACAGAAATTATATTCACAGTCACACCACAAAAAAAAACAGTAAGTGAAATATATCTGCCATTAGTGTGCCATTAAAATACAATTTCATTCAAAATATTAGCAAAAGGAAGGAATATTGATACTTATTTCTTGCCAGCAGCAGTCTGACATAATGTTCTAGCACTAGCATAATGTACTAAGATCATGCAAGACAAGTCTCACTAATAAACCCAGTGAATCCATTAAACAGGATCAGAATGTTCCTTCTCAGTTAACTGTGGTGGGAATTAGGTTGAGGTACACTCTGTTCAAGTTGGTTAATAGCATGCAAAGTATATATTACAGAAACAGTGAGCTAGCTTCAAACTAGGATGTATAGCCTCAGCACTGAGAAGTGTTTAATTGGGTATCATATCAGATCAGATCTGTGTTTATCAAATCAATCTGATATTATGAAAGATAAATATGGCCAATAGCATTCCATTCTCTCAGACTCTTTATTGCTTCCAATCAGGTAGCTACCATTGATGGGGGTTCATGTTTTAGCTTGATTATTGTCGTAAGAGGCTGATACATTCAGATGTGGAGTTTTGTTGGGACACACACAACACACACATCAATCACAGCTGAAACACATCACAGACAATGTCTCTAAACAGAGAGGAGCCGTGCCTCATGGCAGGCAGCCCCACACATATACCATGTCTCTTATAGATGGGAGGTTTCCTGTAGATGTTGGGCTCGCCTGTGGCTGAGGACACAAAATAAGAGAGAGAGGAAATGAAACAGTGAAAAGAGGAAAGGGAAAACGAGAAGAGGAGGGAGACAGAGGAAAGGGGAAAACGAGAAGAGGGGGGAGACAGAGGAAAGGGAAAACGAGAAGAGGGGGGAGACAGAGGAAAGGGGAAAACGAGAAGAGGGGGGAGACAGAGGAAAGGGAAAACGAGAAGAGGGGGGAGACAGAGGATCATCAAGGACGGGGAATACATATTGTCACATATGCCAGATAGGTGCAGTGAAATGTGTTGTTTTACAGGGTCAGACACAGTAGTACAGCACTCCTGGAGCAAATGAGTCTTAAGTGCCTTGCTCAAGGGCAAATCAACAGATTTTTCACCTTGTCGGCTCGGGTATTCAAACCAGCAACCTTTCAGTTACTGGCCCAACGCTCTAACCGCTAGGCTACCTGCCATGGTACATGGTAGAAGAGGAAAGTGTTGTAGGTGTTCAAGTTGTTAGAAGTTGTACTGTAGACTTTTTAAAAAAGGCATTCCTATATGTGAAATAAATAACACTTTTTGCCAATCATTTGACATCCTTGTCTGGACAGAGTAGAGAAAAGACAACCCTACAGAGGGCATTGTGACGGCTCTTCACCTACAGAGCCTCATATCTCTTTCACATGGTGGATCCTTAACAAACCTCTCCCTCACTCTGTCTGTTTGTCTGTCTGTCTGTCTGTCTGTCTGCTGACTCATAAACCAAGGCTGTTTTATGTATTCACTGCCTTTCCCTCCACACAGAAACCCTTAGCTCCGCTGGAAATGAACATGTGTCAACACATGGCACAGCACGAGTAAGGCAGCTGAGATAAAAGTGACACCATCAATAAAACAGATGAGTGTATAATGGCTGCTGCTGTGCATGTACATAGGTATATTATACACAATATCAACAGATGGAAGGGGACGGCCACAGCATCTGATTAGAATAGATGCTCAGCACAGAGAATAGAGGAAGAGGAAGAGCTACTGCACAGCGCCTGACAGACAACACATGCCATAAAACCTGTGATGAAGTGATGAAGTCTGAATAATGGCCATGATGAATGGGGTGAGGATGTCAATGTACATGAGATAAGCAATGCAGAGATACATGGTAACACACACAGTCAACTGAGGCTGGGGGTAATGAAGTAAGTAGGCTGTAACATGTCCCCATATTGTGACCTTTGGAAAAACCTTGTAGGTCTGACTTCAGTTGAGGACAGTTTGGAGGAAGAGGAGGAGGATGGGTGTGAAGGACAGGAAAACCAGAGGCCTACCTGGCACATGGAAATGCTTGGGCGCTTGGTAGGTGGCGTGCCTTGTGGACCTGGTGTCAAGCTGACTGTAATTGGGAGAGCTCCTGCCACTCTCAGTGCCTGCAGACAGTCAGCCCAAGACCAATGACAGTGACAGAAACCAGAGCATGAGCCAAAGATTGGCACCACCCCTTAACCAGACCCATCCCATCCCACAGCCAAAGCTCAGCCCACGCTCACAGAAACACAGCCAGTCAAAGACAGTCGACATTTAGTTTATAGTACTAAATGTGTACTATGCCTGACTGTGTGCAGAGGAAACAAAAATATAAAGCAACTGCCAAGTCTGCCATGATGGTCTTCTACATATTCTATTACTTTAAAACTAGCATAGCTCTATGCGTCTCCCCTAGAGACGACTGATAGGTTTTTTGAACAGTGGCAAAGCATGACACAAACTATCTAATGCCTGCTTCAGTGAATTTAGTTTAGCAGGGTCTAACGAGGGTTCATGACCTGCTATTAGACACTGGAAGAGGGATGGATGTTGTAGCGTGAGAGAATGAAGGGAAGAGCAATCCCCTGTAGTATACCACCACCACTACTACTACCACCACCACCTGAACATAATATGTACTGTATATACTACAGTGTTATCAGACTCAAAGAGGAGTCTAGAGAAGATAAGGTAGGGGTGTGATGTGAGTGGTAGTACCGGAGGGGATTGTGATGTGGGTGCATGAGCGGCGCCTAACCCTGAGTGGGTTAACCTGAAACTAACGTTGTTCTAGCCACCTATACAGGAAGCAAAAGGCATGGGGATAAAACACATCTCCACACACTCCTACGCCTTCAAACACGATCAAACTCAGTCCGGCATTGCTTTCTTGTTGACATTGTACGGCAAAATGATTTACGCCATTTAATCTTCATGAACATTTTCAGGGAGGAGTTTCTCCTGCCTATGTGTTGTGCTGTGTGACGTGGTCGTGTAACGTTAAGTAACTCACCGGGGCGGTAGCAGTGCTGTGGGGAGGTGGACATGGTGGGGGACATGCCCTGGTGGCTGTAGGTGGGAGAGTCTATGAAACCTGGGCTGGACGAGCGCCTCTGTCTCAGCTCCACGCTCTCATAAATGTCCTGGGAAACACAGCAGCAGGCCACCGGTCACTGTCTGCAGGACTCTGTCTGTCTGGCACCATCTATATCACCACATTACACTCTAAACACACTATTCACTTTTTTTTTTTACTTCTTTCATCTAATAACTGACTTTATTTAATCAAGTCCAATGAGAGTTTTAATTGAGTCAATCGAGTCCCTTCTAAGGCCACATGGACCCAAATATATCCCACATATACTGTACACCTCCCAAATATGCCCATCCCAGACTTATTCCTATTCAGCCATTCCCCCTGCCTGTCAACTGATTCAGTGCAGTAGTGTATGGAATGTAATTACCTGAGAGTATGGAGAGAGAGTTCCCAGAGACTGTAGAGGAGAGGAGTGAATAGAGGAGTGGAATCAGTCAGTCAATAGCACCATGCTCTCCAGAATTACTTAGCAGTGTGCTATTCAGAGCCAGACACAGGATAGATCAAATGGGACCCGTGAGCTTACTAAACCATGAATAATATGACTTAAAGTCCTTTTTCTGTGTAGTTGTTCATAAAGCTATTACGTTAAGACAAGCACATAGAAAATCTAACAGTGAACATGAAGAATCCATTGTGTCTGCGGCTTTGGTTTACTGGTGTAAAATAACCTAAATTAATAGTTAGAGAGGCCTTGGCATGAAAACATAAAGCTTAATTGACATGATTTATTGTAGAGTGCCTCAATTCAATTCAATTCAATTCAAATCTGTGACCAAAGCAGGAGACTCACAAGGATGTAGTAATGTTTTAAAATGGTGCGTGACGTGACCACGGTACAACCATACAGGGGCTAAAGTGGGAAGCTGGGGGGATGTAGCAACAGGGAGACACAGAGACGGCAGGCACAGGGCAGGGGGCATCACACGTGCGCACGCACTCACACACCCACACCCACACACAGAGGGCAACTAGATTAGCACTAGCGTCTCAGTACCTCCCCATTGCTGTAGCGTTCTAGCCTGTCATCAGAGGAGTATCTGAGATAAGACTCATACGGAATGAGATCGGGCCGCTGCACGTCATAAATAGCTTTAATCTTAGGCAGCGCGGCCAGGTCTTTGTAATTTAGGACCTCGTTTTCCACTTTGGCCTGGAGAGAGGACACAGAACAAGGAGAAGACAGAGAAGCAGACGTGAGACAGAGAGAGAGGACGAAGTTGCGTTGACAGACAGAGCGATCCGGAGGGGAGGCCGGATCAGGGTCAGCCGCAAGCTGCTGATGGCACCCTGGGTAAGACAGAGCGCGAGCGTGCGCTCACACACACACACACACACACACACACACACACACACACACACAGAAAGCAGAGAGATCCCAGAAACAAACAGACACACACCCTGTAGAAGAGAGAGAACTGGAGAGTGGGACATTGGTCCAGACATAGAATAATATAATTGACATTAAAGGTATTATGACAGTCTAAAGGGTCAGCCATTTTGGTCAAGGAGTTGGTCAACCATGGGCAGCTAGTGCTGTGATAAGATTTTGTGTAAAACAATGAATTTGAAGATTATCTGCACAGTGTATTTATTAGCTAGTTAGCCAGCCACTTTTAAAGGAATGATTCCATAAATGTTTCCAATTAACTGCCAATATGCCAACATTCCATACAACCAGTGCAGTCACTACACAGCCATATACTGGCTGAAATCAGTTGACGATAGGACACGTTGTAAATGCAACAAGTACTGGTATTGTATCATATTATAACACTCAGAGCTTTCCAAGAAAACAAACACTGAGGGGCCATACTTGCGAACATTAGAAAAAGTTTAAACATCAGCCAATTAAAATTGTTGACGTAGTTACACGTGATCAATGGCTACATGTTAGCTGTTCCCATTACATAACCTGGCACATTCAGCCCTATGCTAACCTCACCAGGTGGACGTAATTATTTCCTGTAACAAATTCTGCATTAGCCTATCAAATATCTTCGACGTTTTCTCTACAAACCAATGGCATTTCTTAAAATAGGTCAACTTGGCCACCAGAGGTACAATGAGGGAAAAAAGTATTTGATCCCCTGCTGATTTTGTACGTTTGCCCACTGACAAAGAAATGATCAGTCTATAATTGTAATGGTAGGTTCATTTGAACAGTGAGAGACAGAATAACAACAACAAAAATCCAGAAAAACGCATGTCAAACATGTTATAAATTGATTTGCATTTTAATGAGGGAAATAAGTATTTGACCCCCTCTCAATCAGAAAGATTTCTGGCTCCCAGGTGTCTTTTATACAGGTAACGAGCTGAGATTAGGAGCACACTCTTAAAGGGAGTGCTCCTAATCTCAGTTTGTTACCTGTATGAAAGACACCTGTCCACAGAAGCAATCAATCAAATCAGATTCCAAACTCTCCACCATGGCCAAGACCAAAGAGCTCTCCAGGGATTTCAGGGACAAGATTGTAGACCTACACAAGGCTGGAATGGGCTACAAGACCATCGCCAAGCAGCTTGGTGAGAAGGTGACAACAGTTGGAAGAAACACAAAAGAACTGTCAATCTCCCTCTGCCTGGGGCGCCATGCAAGATCTCACCTTGTGGAGTTGCACTGATCATGAGAACGGTGAGGAATCAGCCCAGAACTACACGGGAGGATCTTGTCAATGATCTCAAGGCAGCTGGGACCATAGTCACCAAGAAAACAATTGGTAACACAATACGCCGTGAAGGACTGAAATCCTGCAGCGCCCGCAAGGTCCCCCTGCTCAAGAAAGCACATATACAGGCCCGTCTGAAGTTTGCCAATTAACATCTGAATGATTCAGAGGAGAACTGGGTGAAAGTGTTGTGGTCAGATGAGACCAAAACCGAGCTCTTTGGCATCAACTCAACTCACCGTGTTTGGAGGAGGAGGAATGCTGCCTATGACACCAAGAACACCATCCCCACCGTCAAACATGGAGGTGGAAACATTATGCTTTGGGGGTGATTTTCTGCTAAGGGGACAGGACAACTTCACCGCATCAAAGGGACGATGGACGGGGCCATGTACTTGGGTGAGAACCTCCTTCCCTCAGCCAGGGCATTGAAAATGGGTCGTGGATGGGTATTCCAGCATAACAATGACCCAAAACACACGGCCAAGGCAACAAAGGAGTGGCTCAAGAAGAAGCACATTAAGGTCCTGGAGTGGCCTAGCCAGTCTCCAGACCTTAATCCCATAGAAAATCTGTGGAGGGAGCTGAAGGTTCGAGTTGCCAAACGGAGAAGATCTACAAGAAACGTCTGACCTCTGTGATTGCCAAAAACGGTTTTGCCACCAAGTACTAAGTCATGTTTTGCAAATACTTATTTCCCTCATTAAAATGCAAATCAATTTATATAACATTTTTGACATGCGTTTTTCTGGATTTTTTTGTTGTTGTTATTCTGTCTCTCACTGTTCAAATAAACCTACCATTAAAATTGTAGACTGATCATGTCTTTGTCAGTGGGCAAACGTACAAAATCAGCAGGGGATCAAATACTTTTTTCCCTCACTGTATATATTTAAACCTCCTAATTCAAGGTTGACTTTTGTTCCCCTTCACTTTATCTGTTTTAAAACTAATAAAAATAACAACAACAAAAATCATAAAATAATGTATCTTTCGTCTCTCTGTGTTTTATAAATTTCCTTCAATTCGCAAGAGGCTGAATCTATCGCACCGGAGAAAGCATCCGAGCAAGCGAAACAGCGCCCCTCTGTCTCGGTATGTGTAGCCCATCTATCTGATGCTGTCTCGTCAAAAAGAGTATGACAATGTTGCTGCCCGTAGCATTGAATGCAAGGGAAGCCAGCGAGCATTTGGCCTCTCTTGATAAAATAGTATAAAATAATAGCCAATCAGCGTTGAGCTAACCTGAGCAAGCTCAACTATGAATGGTCCTGGCGCACCCAAAAAAAAGTGTCAAGGGAAGCCAGTTTGGATTTGGCTTCACACCAATCACATCACATCAAGCCAAACATCATTTACAGAAAAAAAACTTGAATTGTTGTGTTGTTGTCCTCTGGTGGCTAGCTAGCTAGCTGAAACTGGCCCTTTCCTAAATTAGCCTTGGATGGAGATAGGGATTTGGACTTGCGGTTTTACTTAATTCTCCTTTCTGGCCAATAGGATTGGACGGTATACTGTATACCGGGGTATTTGGAAAAAGCCATGTGATGGTTTTTCAATACCATCAATATTGTTGAAACTATTTATTATTAGTTTTTTTATTATACATTCGAACATTTGTAGCTACTTTTTAAATAAGTACCTGCAGTCAATTTGTGCAATATGTTAGGAGATAATGAATATTGCGTTCTTCATTTCACCTGTCACATTATTATGTAGCTTACGGTAGTCCTCAGTCACGTGTCACATGGTGTTTGTTTACAAGCACACAACAACGAGACCGGAGCCTTGTGAGTCACTCACTGTCGTGCAGCATGCACCAGGTGATCCAATTACAGTATGGAATTCACAACTAAATGTTTGTCAGCTAGATATCTTAGAACTATGAAGTTAAATGTCTAAAATGTGCTAAATGAGGTAAAGTTGTGCATTTGGTTTGCTAATTTAGTAGCTAGTTAGCTATCTAGCGAAGTGGTTAGCCTCTTCCAAAATCAAGCATTTGCTTGGTAACAGCAGAGAATCCCCTCCTGGATCAAGAGCCTTGCTGTCTAATATTAGTTTTGTGTGTGCAGCAAACTGTGAGGAGCAATGCGGTCATTAGCATCTAGTTAGCATTCTCTATGAGGATGAGTGATTTTTTTGGGCATTGAAAATTAGTACTTATTTAATAAATACCTGCAGTAGGTAATAGATAAAGCAGATCGCGTTCATCATTTTGCCCGTTACATAATTTTTCATTATGAAGCTTACCTTTACTAGTTTCCCAAAAAAACAGTTTGAGACAGTCACGTGTGTTTTGTTTACAAAGAAGAACAACGAGTCACTCCTTCAGCGCAACTTAAGTGAGGTAATCAAGTTACACTACTAATGTTTGCCAGCTATACAGTTGAAGTCGGAAGTTTACATACACCTTAGCCAAATATATTTAAACTCAGTTTTTCACAATTCCTGACATTTAATCCTAGTAAAAATTCCCTGTTTTAGGTCAGTTAGGATCACCAATTTATTTTAAGAATGTGAAATGTCAGAATAATAATAGAGATCATTATTTCTTTCAGCTTTTATTTCTTTCATCACATTCCCAGTGGGTCAGAAGTTTACATATTGCCTTTAAATTGTTTAACTTGGGTCAAATATTTCGGGTAGACTTCCACAAGCTTCCCAAAATAAGTTGGGTGAATTTTGGCCCATTCCTCCTGACAGAGTTGGTGTAACAGTCAGATTTGTAGGCCTCCTTGCTCGCACACGCCTTTTCAGTTCTGCCCACACATTTTCTATAGGATTGAGGTCAGGGCTTTGTGATGGCCACTCCAATACCTTGACTTTGTTGTCCTTAAGCCATTTTGCTGCGGTCATTAGCACATAATCTTCCTTCCTCATGATGCCATCTATTTTGTGAAGTGCACCAGCCCCACCTGCAGCAAAGCACCCCCACAGCATGATGCTGCCACCCCCGTGCTTCACGGTTGGGATGGTGTTCTTCGGCTTGCAATAACCCCCTTTTTCCTCCAAACATAACGATGGTCATTATGGCCAAACAGTTCTATTTTTGTTTCATCAGACCAGAGGACATTTCTCCAAAAAGTACAATCTTTGTCCCCATGTGCAGTTGCAAACCATAGTCTGGCTTTTTTAATAGCGGTTTTGGAGCAGTGGTTTCTTCCTTGCTGAGCGGAATTTCAGGTTATGTCGATATAGGACTTGTTTTACTGTGGATATAGATAATTTTGTACCTGTTTCCTCCAGCATCTTCACAAGGTCCTTTGCTGTTGTTCTGGGATTGATTTGCACTTTTCGCACCAAAGTACATTCATCTCTAGGAGACAGAACGCGTCTCCTTCCTGAGCGGTATGACGGCTGCGTGGTCCCATGGTGTTTATACTTGCGTACTGTTGTTTGTACAGATGAATGTGGTACCTTCAGGCGTTTGGAAATTGCTCCCAAGGATGAACCAGACTTGTGGAGGTCTACAATTTCTTTTCTGAGGTCTTGGCTGATTTCTTTTGATTTCCCCATGATGTCAAGCAAAGAGGCACTGTGTTTGAAGGTAGGCCTTGAAATACATCCACAGGTACACCTCCAATTGACTCAAATGATGTCAATTAGCCTATCAGAA